CAGCAGTCCTTAACCTTTTTGGCCCCAGGGCCCAGTGTTCCTGTGAGAATCTAATGCCTGATGATTTCAGATGGAGCTGAGGTGGTGATGCCAGTGCTGTGGAGTGGCTGCAAATACAGATGAAGCTTTGCTTGCTGGCCCGCTGCTCACCTCCTGCTGTGTGGCCCAGTTCCTCACAGGCCACAGACTGGTACTGGTCCACGGCTCTGGGGTTGGGGTCCTGTATTCTAGAGGACTCCTACATTCCTTGACTCAAGGCCTCCTTCCATCTACAAATCCAGCAACCGCAGGTTGAATCTCTTCTCACCTTGAATCTCCCTGACCCTTCTGCTACTACTTTCATTACCCTCTCCTCTGCACCCATCAGCTGAAAAAAGCTCTTTTCGTAAGGCTTCTGGTAATTAGATTGGTCCCATCTGGGTAATCCAGGCTACTTTCTCCATCTCAAGGTTCTTAATCACATATTCAAAGTATCTTTTGCTGTGTGAGGTAACATATTCACATCACAGGTCCCCGATTACAGTGCGGCCAAATTAGAGGGGCCATTATTCTGCTCACCACAAAACCTGTATTTCTAAGAAAAAGATATGAATTAAATAATTGGGATATACTCTTACATTGGAATGTTACATAGTCATTAAAGCTGTATTGTATGCAGAATAATGGTAATTAAAAATCTTAAAATGTTAACTGTGTTAGGCACTATTCTAAAAGCTTTACATATTTTGACATTTACTTAATTCTTCCAACAACCTTGACATATGTGCATTATTACTCCCTGAACTCTCCTTTATAGATAAAGAACCTAAGGCAAGACAGCTAAGTGATTTGCCTAAGGTTACAAAGTTGCTAAACAGAAGAGCTTGGACTATGAAGTCAAGCTGGCTGCAGAGTTCATGAGCATAGTAGTTAATGAGTCAGACGTATGTTATTGATCTATTGCTAAGTAAAAAAAAAATCGTTTAAAATCTATTATGCATGATATAACTCAATTTTTGTAAAAAAAATGGTTTGTGCAAAAATGAGAGATTATCTATCGGTGGAAAGATTATGAATGATTGCTTTCTTTTTAAAATTTATTTTGAAAATACTATTTTTATTTTCCAAACAAGAAAGCAAATCCAAGTTAGTATAAAATACTTAATGAATTAAATTTGTTGATTTTGCAATTGTAAAGATAATTGCTGCCTTTATGTTTTTAGACTATAATGAAGTAAAACTCAGAATGAAATGATCCATGGTGTTACAAAGTCCAGCTTGAGCTTTCGCTCTTGCTGAAGCGATTGTGTATTGAGCAGACAGCAACTCACTTTGTGGTTGTGTACCTATGGCATTCCATGTTCTGAGAGATAAGTGAGATAAAAGTAAAATAACCATGAAAAGTACTTTAAAACAGGATGCCAAGGTAGCCAGATGGAGATGTGTAATATGTAACACATTCTCCCCACAGAAACAGGATAGTTAACAATAGTTATGTTAACAAACTAGTCAAGGAAAGCCTTATATAGCTGAATAGTATATGGCTTTATTTCTCAATGAAAGTGCAATCAACATTCCAATTTGAGGCATCTCTTTTTCCTTTATACATTGCTATGGGACAGTTGAGATTCTCTTTATAGTCTTTTCCAGTAAGGCTGTAGGGTCAATAGGAAATGGAACAAAGGCATGGCTACCTTAAGGCATAGAACTGAGTTCCTAACTTGGGCACTTTTATATAAATCAGGCATTGCCTATACTGTATCTAAAGCATGTGGCATAAATTTAGAGATAACAAAATCTGATCTTAATAAAGCTGGGGAAAAAAAGAGATAAAGTATGTGTGATTATTCTAAATATTTTTAAATCATCACTTCTCTATGGAATTCCAAAAAATATGATGATGTATAGTAGTATAGTAAAATGAATACTAGTGTTACATACTATCATATAATACATATAGTAGGTATAATATATACTGTAAGTAAGTATATTAAAATATAAAAGAGTATAGCCCAGTGGTTTGGAAAGCAGATTTTGATGTTCCACTGACAAGCTTTCACACTCTAATTCTGCCAAGAACATGTGCACCTGCGATTAAGATTCTCGATTTATCTAAACCTCATGGTTTCTGTATCTTTAAAATGACCAAATAACTCATCAATTTCTTGTGAATAATGAAGAAAATGTAGGTATAGTACATAAGGTTGTAGATGCACACAATAAATGCTCATCATTGAACATGCATCTCATTCACTCTCTTAAGGAGAATATTGCGCCAATGATACTAAATCAGGAATAAAAGCCATTGTGGATTGCCTTATGTTATGTTTCTCAGGTGGCAGCTCTGACAAATATTTGAATGAAGTGGTATATTTTGGAGGTGGAGAAGCACTGACTGGTAAAGGAGAAGAGATATGAGGCAGGAAAGAAAGAGAACTACTTAAGAGTGCATGAATGAGGTTCCCACCATAGGCAACAGTGGGCTCAATCCAGGTGGGGAAGTCAATGGTGTAGAGTATGCCTCGTGTTCCTATCTCTGGGTTGAGAAGCTGGGGTATTTATCCACAAACACCTATCCATTACTGGGTGAGAGTTGGTCTCAGGGCTGTAACTTGACTCTTGTGTCAAGCACTTCCTGTGGATAGATAAAACCCATAGACTGTCCCAAGTATTTCAGAAAGAAAGTGAGCATGTACTGAAAGGCAAGTATCCAGGGGCTAGGAGCAGGACACTAAGAGTCAGCTACAGATAGCATTATGCTTCCCTTCAACCTATATAGCCCAGAGACTACTCAGACTCCTGCTGGTTATAGAGAAACTACTTCAGGATTATTGATAGATCCACATAAATGCATTGTTGCAATTATGAATTTAAAAAGGTAATAATAGAATGCTTTTCACTATATGGCAGCAGCTTCTTCAATATTCATCATCAAGTTAGTTTTCTTTTTGTTTGGCAATACAAATATCTGCATCCCCAGCAGCTACTAGACAGCTAATGTGTGTAAAGACAGAATAATAACAACTAACAGAAACATCTGGCACCGGATACCTCTAGCTTCAGTTTCACTAAGGGTTGTGGAGCAGCTATTACCTGCCAGGCCCACAGTGGGTAAGAGCATGTATTGGGATCTTGTAATTTCATTAAATTGAAAAGGATTTTTCAGAGAAAAGTCTTATTTACAAATGGGGAGATTAAAAGTAGGCATTGTCATTACAGTAATAAAATATCCGTATTCCACAAATTGAATAAATCAAATCCCCCTTCGGCTCTCTATGATTGACAAACTATTTCTGAAAATTCAGTGTCACGCTTCTGGTCTCTATGCCCTATCCAATTTCTTTATGTTTAGTCATTCCGATATACCATAATATTTATTCAGAAGAAGCAATCATTTGAGATCTTTATTTGTGGTTTCAAGCATAACGTTATCCTACACAAATGCCATTTTCTCAGTAGGGCCAAATTCCATTTGCTATTTAAGTTCTTTGCTTGATGTGGTTGCAACTGTCTTAATCTCTTAAAGGGGTGCAGAAAGAGGCTTGCTATTTAGTGTCATAAACCGTTCTTTTATCAATCTCGGCACCTCATTTCACTCAGTACTACAGCAGATCTCAACATCATATCTTCACTGCCCTGGAAAGTGAGTCAGGAATGCTAGCTGCAGGGGATGTAAAGGAAACTGGACCCTTGGATCCTGAATA